TCGGTAATTAGATCTCTCTCTCAAGCTTCGGCGATATCGTGGCGATGTGCGAGAACCATGATCGCCGGTCCTCGGGAAATCGGCAAATTTTCGCGGCCATGTTGCACACCCAATTGGAGAAGCGCGCGATTGATCGTCCCCGAGCGCGATAAATCTACTTTGCGAGGGAGTATTTGCACAGAGGCGGGCGTCGCGAGGGGGGGGAGGCCAGTTATCGGGGCGTTATTGGACTTTCCTCGCTTGTATCGCGCGCCGCGCGTGTCGAGCCGGGATTACGTTAGAAGGGGCAGCGTTAGCTGCAGGACGACGACGACGACGACGACGAGGAGCAGCAGGAGGAGAAGGAGAAGGAGAAGGAGAGAAGGAGGAGGACGAGAAGAAGAAGGGGCGATGGGGATAAGGGGACACGCACGGGGCGGGAGAGGCGGGAGACGATCTAACGATACGATGGTGGGGAGAACGCGGTGGTGCTCGGCCGTTGCATTGTGGGGGTGTTGGCCTTCAACTTGACGGCGCAGTTTCACTGACCTGCCTGAGAAACTCGCGATGCCAGCTCCGTGTGGAGCGGACCCACGGACGACGTCCAGGACGCCAAAGGGTACCGCTACTTAAGGGCCTCACGGCCACTAAACAAACCTCTTGGCCGTGCCGGCGCGCGGCGCGATCGAGCGAGGGAAATTTAAGCGTGGCCGAGACTTAACTATATGGTCTCTCCTCTCGTGTGGCAGAGGAAATCCGAATCTCCTCCCGTGATGCGCGCGAATCTCCTCCGGAGACGCAGCAGACGGCCCGACGCCGCGCCGCGCCGCGCCGTGGCGTCCACTTTTCCGACGCGCTTTTCCTCCGTCGTCGGGAAGAACAATCTCCCAAGCGCGGAAATTTACGAGTTTCGCGACGCGCTCGCGTTCTCGCGCGGTCTTTTTGTCGCACGCTGATGCAAAATTCACAGCGAGACTCGACTGGACGGGACTCGCGTCGATTAAGTTCTCATTTCTCGAGAATCTCCCGGCAATGCAAAATGCCTTCAGACGATGGACCTTTTTTGTCTTCCTCTGGTCGAGGAAGAAGCGTGTCTCTGTCGGGCTGTTCGGCGACCGTAATTAAAGTAAAAGACGCGCGCAGGTGGTCGGCGAGCGTCCCTCTCTCGGGTCTCTTATCCTTCGTACACGTCGCTTCGATCCTCTCCTTTCGGGAAACTGACAAAACGACGGATAAGAATCGCTGGTCGCGCGCGCTCGGGGAAGGAAACCGGGCTTTCCTCGGAAAGAGAGACCTTTCCGAGGGAGTTCTCGCGCATCTGTCCGTCCGTCGTCGAAATATATTTCTCTGCGATCGATCCTCCGATGCACGCAAACGGTGCCCGGAATCAGCGGACAATGAAGATCATTTAAGAAACTCGAGGGCCCAGCGGAGGCAGGACAAAGTTTCGGCGCGTAGCCTATATCCGGCGGCCCGTGGCCGTGGTGCACTCGAGTTACACGACTGGCGTCTATAATGCAGCCGCGGACCGTGAAAGCCTGTAACTATTGATCCCGCGGCCTTTGGGGACTGCCGTGTTGCCGTCGCCGCCGCCGTCGCCGCCGCCGCTGCTGCGGATTTTAGCAACGTCATTCGACGCGCGTGACGTATCGTGGGAATGGAGAGTCGCGACTCCGCCGAGAGAGAGAGAGAGAGAGAGAGATGCAGAGAGAGAGAGAGAGAGATGCAGAGAGAGAGAGAGAGAGAGAGAGACAGACTTTCGCTCATCATTATGCTCACTCAGGGAGATGGTGCCACGTGCGGCAGCAGCACGCAGTAGTTGTCGTTTATACGAGTGACGCGTTTCCCCCGATAGGTAGTAGTGAGAAAGTGAGACGAGACGAGATGAGAAGTCGTGTGGAGTCGCCTCCTCGTGGCGGCGGGTCCTCTTCGTCGCGCGGGGATGGTCGCGCCGTCGATCTTCAGGATCGTCGAGAGTCCGGGCTACGGTCTACGATTTCGCGTTGCGAACGGAACCTGGACGGCTCGGCAGGCCGGACCGACGAGAGGCAGAAGGCCCCGAGAGACTCTCCTCGTTCCTTTCGATCCTCTCTTTTCGTCCTCTCTCCCGTCCCTTAGACCAGGCGAACAAAGCGAAGGGACCCCCGAGCGGCGTTCTCCGACGGACCGGGACCTTCTTTCTTTCCTCTCTCTTTCTCTCTCCTTTCCCTTCTCTCCATCTCGCCTCACCTTGGCCGCGGCCCTTCAACTGTCTACGACCCACGCCCCACCGCCTCCTATTTCTCCGTTTGTGCCACCACCACCACCACCTTCTTCTTCTTCTTCTTCTTCTTCTCCTCTTCCTCCTCCTCCTCCTCCTTCTTCTTCATCATCAATACCGGCACCAGCAGCAACAGCAGCAGCAGCAGCAGCAGCAGCAGCAGCAGCAGCAGCAGTACCAACACCACCACAAGACCACCGTCGCCACCTTCCTTGAGCTCTCTACGAGCGGCAACCTTCCTCTCCTCTTGGCGAGTCTTCGCTCTCCTGCCACGCGTATACCTACCTACCTACCTGTGTGCAAATTCGTCTCGTGCGCGTATTCCTCAGATTCTCGTCCACCTGCCTCTCGTCGTTGCCACCCATCGCCGTGCGGAGAGTCAGCGCCGAGTTATTTAGCCGAACCGAACCGGGCCGCTCCGGATTGCTCTAGGCGAATTTCCGGTACAAGGGAGGAAGAGAGAAAGAACTTTGGAGAAGTTTGGACGGACGGAAACTCGAGCGGGACCCGGCGCGCGTTCAGAGTTGCTCCGAGCGGTCGCCATTGGGACCGCTTCGCGTCTCTACCGACGCACGATGATTCAACGCGATCCTCTCGCGGTCCGTCGAGGTGGCCGATGCGACGACTCGTCCTGTTCCCGAGCGATCGACGCGTCAACGAGGATGACATTAGAAAGAGAAAAAGAGAGAAACGGCCTCCTCGTTTCCCGCGGCCGGAAAATGCGTCTCTCGTCGCTCGTACGCTTCGAAACGCTCAATTTGCAGAGACAGATGACGCACGCGACGTAATACTCGACTTCCGACGATCCGCGAGAGAACGCGCGACGTAACGTACAGTCGAGCGAAATTACGACTCCGATAGAGCGTTCACGCCCTCGAGACGACCTCCCGACGGTTCCCATGTGTACCCCGGCGAGGGTTAGGTTCCTTTCGCGCTCGCGTATCGCCGATGGTTCGCGCGCGCGCGCTGCGTATGTGTGTGTGTGTGTGTGTGTGCACATGCATGCATGCGCGTGCACGCCGCGAGCGCCTTTCGTTCCGCATCGATGTCAAGACTGTACGCGCCGCGCGCGCGGTGCATGTCCCTGAAGAAGCGGGGGACGTCCGTGACATTGGTGCCCGTCGTCGTCGCCGCCGTTGCGCGCGCGAAGGTCCTAGGCATCCTTCGCTTAGCCGCGAAGGCTCGTTCTTGAGCGTTCTTGCCGTTGCGCGCGCAAACAAAGTATTCCGGAATTCACTCGCGACCTTGCACTCGTCCTCACACGCTGCTTCGTCTCGAATCCTGCCACCGTCGCCGCTGTGTTTCGCCCTCTCCCGCGCCGCGACTCACGCTGGAAAACGCAAAATTTGATTACGAGAGATCGACGTGCGCGCGAGCGAGCGAGCGAGCGGGAGAGAGAGAGAGAGAGAGAGAGAGAGAGAGAGAGAGAATGCAGGCTGGCCGAGAGAGGGAGAAGCAGCGCGAAGCAGCCGCTGGTATGCGATGCAACGTGCGCGTCGCCTTCTCTCTTCCAGCGCGACGAAGGAGAGAGTGAACTGAATGAAAGGGAGGACGGGGCGAGAGAGGAGGATAAAGAGAGCGAGAGAGAGAGAGAGAGAGAGAGAGAGAGAGAGAGAGAGGCGGTGATGGTGGAGGGAGAAAGAGAGAAGGCGAGAGGTTCTCAGGACGTGCGAGAAGGAGACGAGAGAGCGAGCGAACGAACGAACGAACGAACGAACGAACGAACGAACGAACGAACGCGAGGAGGAAACGACGGAGAGGAGCAAGAAGCGAAAGAAGGAAAGAGAGAGGAGTGGTTCACCTGCATTGCTAGCATTGCGCTGGCTCAAGGCCAAAGAGTCTGCGAGACCGAGGACCAGACCGGGTCGGGACCTCCTTCCTTCCAGTTTCCTGCACCCTGCTCTCTCTCCACGCCGTGCCGTTTTGCTCTCTCGCTTCGTGTAGCGTCTCCTACTCCTGCGAGTCTCTCTTTCTCACTTTCTCCCTCTTCCCCATCGCGTTGCGAGCGAGATGCGTCTCTCGCGGTGCGATATGCAAACAATTGCATCATGCGCGTGCGCGCGTGTGCGCAAACAAAGCTATTTTGGAAAGTTGAGGCGTGTGGGCGGCCTTGCGGCCAACACGGACGAAATGCGACCAACAAAGGATAATGCATGTTGTAGTAGGAGAATGCGCGTTAATTCATAGAAACGATCGATCCTCTCTCTACGTGTGGTTGTTTTCGCCTGGGGTTCCACTCGGGGAAACAGAGTGACACGAGTGGCCGCCAAGTCGCCGCTTCAAGTAATTTCTCCACCGACGCAGAGTGAATGTTTTTCATTCGGAACCGGCGTCGGTCGAGCGCAATTTTTTCGATCGGAATTCCAGAGCAGAACCTCAGTGACGTTCCCCGTCTCGCGACGGACGTACAGGTTCTTCTCTCACTCTCATTACTTCGGCTGGAAACTGAAACGTGTGAAACGTGTGAAACGCGCGTGGGACTTTCACTCACGTTTTTCGAGCGAAGGACACCTCGCTCTGTGAAATTTAGAGCGCTTTTATATCGTTTATTCGCTGCGCCAAAGTCAAAGGTCAACGGCAAGAGCCGCGCTCGCGCTCGCGCGCGAACGACACTCGACTCTCGTCGCGTCGCGTCGCGTCGCGTCACGTCGCGTCGTGAAGCTCGCCGCGAGAGCCGCCGCCGACGATCAGACGCGGATTTTCATGCAAAGCGAGCAAGCAAGCGTAACCTCACGTTGTCCCTCTGTTGTTCTGATTGCAGGCTGCAAGATCAAGGCTCTCCGCGCCAAGACCAACACCTACATAAAGACGCCCGTGCGCGGCGAGGAGCCGGTGTTCGTGGTGACAGGTCGCAAGGAGGACGTCGCCCGCGCGAAGCGTGAAATCCTGTCGGCTGCGGAGCATTTCTCGCAGATCAGAGCGTCGCGCAAGAGTTCGCTGGGCGCACTCCTCGGCGCGCCACCCGGGCCACCCGCGTCGGTCCCCGGCCACGTGACGATTCAGGTACGCGTACCCTACAGAGTGGTGGGTCTGGTCGTGGGACCTAAGGGCGCTACCATCAAGCGCATTCAACATCAGACGCACACCTACATTGTTACACCTAGTCGCGACAAGGAGCCGGTATTCGAGGTGACCGGCCTCCCGGACAACGTCGAGGCGGCTAGGCGGGAGATTCAAGCTCACATCAGCCTGCGCACGGGCACTAGTGCGAGCGTATGCGACGAGGCGGATCTACTAGGCGCGCTCTGTCGCGGCGGGCTCAGCTCAATTTTGACTTGCCTCGATCCCCCGGGATCGAACGCCTCCAACGGCTCGAGCGGTGCGTTCTCGAGTAGCGGCAGTTGCAGCAGTTCGTCCAGCAGCTCCGGCGCCGCGGGGATGAACGACATCGTGGCGATCTGGGGCGCTGGGGGATTGGAGAGAGACGAAGGTCTCGGCGAGTCGCCGTCATTCGAGTCGCAGCCGGCCTCGGCGTCTTCGATCTGGTCGTTTCCGAGCGTGACGCTGCCGTCGAGGCCCTCACCACCGGCATCGGCGAGCCCGGCGTCGCCCACGGACTCGCTCCTCGGCGGCGGACGGCGAGAGTGCCTCGTGTGCGGCGACAAGGAGGTTACAGCTGCGTTGGTGCCCTGCGGACACAATCACTTCTGCATGGACTGCGGTAAAAGACTCTGCGAGGGCACCGATCCCATGTGCCCGGTATGCTCCAGTCCGGTGATGCAGGCACTCCGTATCTTCTCCTAAAGGCCCGCGCGGAGCCGCGTCAGCTGACCGCGCCGCGACACCCGGTATACGCAGCGGCTGCATCAACTTACCTTCTACCGTTCCTCGAATACGAACGGCGGCTAACTCTGGCAGATACGATGACGACGATGACGACGGCGACGGCGACGGCGGCGATCGCGATCGCGCGACGACTTTGTCGCTGTTGTTGTTGTTGTTGTTGTTGTCGGGGAACCACGGCGACGCGATGCAGGCGGCGCGATCCTCGCGAATCGTCGTGCGCTTCATCATCCTCATTATCATCGTCGTCGTCGTCGTTGTCATCATCATCATTATCATCATCACCACCATCGCGTTAGCGACGTTGTCGTCGTCGTCGTCGTCGTCGTCGTCGTCGTCGTCGTTTATCCACAGTGTGCGATGCCGCCGTCGTCAGGGGATCGGACGCGCACAATGTCTCAATTCCACGGCTGCCAATATAATCTCTTTTACGCGACGGGAATGCCTCGACGCCCGTGCGGTCGCTCGAGTCCGTCGTTCCCGCTGACCGGATACAACGAAGCCAGCTTTTAAGTTCTACGAGATATATATTTAGGTAGAGGGACAGAGAGAGATGAAAACACATTGTCTCACCCCACCGTCATCGTCATCTCGCTTCCCTCCCCCTTCCCCATGCTCCCATCCCTCCTAGGCCCGCCCTCTCACTCGCCTCCGCACCCGCTGCTCATCCTACACCCTCCTTCCTCCTCTTCCCTCTCCCCCCCCTCCCCACTCCCCCCTTCCCGACGCTTGCGTAGATTAGGCTCGCGGCTCGTCGAGTACTAAGCTTTCTCGAGGCACACATATATACATATATATGTATATACATATATATACATATATATTTATATATTTATATATATATATATATATATAAAATATATATGAGAGACGGCGCGAAGAGTACTCCATCGTGCATCTCGCGAATGGTACTCGATCGTACTGTCGTCCGGACTGACGCGAAGAAAAACAAAACATAAGCAACACAGAAAATAAGAGAGCCTCTCTATCGCCCGCAAAAGGATCGACGCTGCGACGATTCGACTGATATATAAATATGTATTTAGTAGCGAGACTGATGATTACCGAGACGCTACTTTTCTTTCTCCGCTAACCCCGGAGGCTAAATGGTCCGAAACACATGGATATCGATCGAGTCGCGGACCGACCGGCCTCGCCTTCCTGACTTTTACACTCGACAACACACGGTGCGTTGTTCTTTCGCATTGAGATAAAGAGAGAAAAATAAGGACGAAAACGCAAAGAACTCTCCGCTCGTTCCTGAGATTTCTCTTGGTCGAATGTTTGCTGGGAACCGGAGGCCGCCGCCGCCGCTGCTGCTGCTGCTGCTGCTGCTTGTTCAGCATGAGCCTTTTAGAGCTTTCGCGAAAGATGTTTTTTTCTTCTCACTTGTTAATCTCATTTCTTCTTCTTTCCTCCTTTCTTTCTTCCTTTCTGTCTTTCTTAGTGATAATTACGACTGAGTGAACCACGTTCAAATCGTGTCCAAAGATGTGTATCTCTTTTCGATTTCTTCATTGCTTCTCTAAGCTTCGTATATATGTACACATACATATATATATTATTATTCGAATATCAAAGCATGCTTACGCTCGTATTTTCCAGCCGATGACGAGAGTAGACACACACACGTACATAATCACGATCGATTCTTCTTTAGTCCAATGACGGGGGAAGATACGAAGCTGACGCTTTTTATCTTAATGCAATGTTTGATTTTGTGCCAAAAGGGCTGGGCAGAGAGAGAGAGAGAGAGAGAGAGAGAGAGAGAGAGAGAGAGAGAGAGAGAGAGAGTGAATGAGTGAGTGTGAGTCATCTCGATAATTTCACAAAGATTGCGCACTGGGCAACCGTAAGAATATCCTCCCCTCGCGGGCCTCTTCTCCTCATTCGAAACTCTTCTCACACGGAGGAATAACGAAAGCGTTCGTACGTCTTGATCTCAGCGTTCGTTTGGAACGCGCGCGTAGAAAGTGTTAAGTTCTTATAATCGATCCGCGGGGGGAGGTTTTCCGTTGTCAAGTGTACAATTACGGACTCGACGAACCTGCGAGCTCGTCGCGACTGCGACAGTGAAGATTACCGAGAACTACCAACACGTACACGAATCGCGACACATTTGCTCCGACGCATGTACGCATATAAGTGCATACATGCACACATACAGACCCACACACACACACACACACACATATAGAGGAACACACCGACAGATGTGACCAGACATCCTACACGTGAAAAAGAGAGGGAGAAGAGAAGAGGGTCACGGGCCCCTCGATTCGCCACGAAATCACGCAGTGATATTGCGCGAACGGCGCGTTTGTTCCACCCGGCTTCCCTCGCCACTTAGAGAGTATTAACTTAAACAATATCTTTATATAAGCGATATAGTAATTGAAATAATAACTATAAAATTATATAGATATATATACATATATATATATATATATATATATAAATCACACACATACACACACATATGTATACATATATATGTAGCTATATATATGTATGTGTATATCGTGTGTCGGGAGGTATCTGTGAAGCATGAGTGTACGATAGAATGTGAGAAAGAAAGGCACGAGTGAATGAGGGAACACAGGCAGCGAATGATATTTTATCGAAACGAGATTTAGATTTTGTATTTTTCGCGCGTTTCGCCGATGGGACGGCGGGTGGTCCGCTGGGCCGTAACGTCATTTCTCAGAGGAAGTAGAGAACGAGCGGGAACATGAAGGAAGGAAAGAGAGAGAGAGAGAGAGAGAGAGAGAGACAGAAAATTATATTTAAGAATCCGTCGCGGTTTAGAGAATGCAGAAAATTGCAAACAGAGAGAACATGGTGCAAAAAGGAAAAACAAATAGGGATAAAAGAGACACAAAGAATAGAGCATATAACGCGTCGAGGGGCCACGCGTCCGCTCTCTCAAGGCAGGAACAACGGGCGTTTTAGAAACGAGGTCGGTCGATGCGCCGGCGGCTCTCGCAAGTGTATTCTTCGACTAGTAATAATCGAGCGATCGCTAAATCCGATCGTCGGGAAAGGAGGGAAGAAAGGTACAACGGAGGAGAAGCGATACTCGTTTCGCGTAAGGATCGACGTTTTTAAATACACATTCTCTCTCACACACGTACATATTCATACACACACACACACACACACACACACGTAGTGTGTCCTTTCTTTCGTTGGAGAGGCGCGTAATCGCATTATCGCTATTAACCCTCTGCATTTAATATTTAATATCTCTCTCTATATATCCTCTTACGTGTATGTATATATATGTATATACATGTTCGCGTGAAATATGTAGCTATACGTATGTATACATATGTGTGTACGCAATCGCACGTGGATGTGTATCGACGATCGTCACCGCGCGTGTCCGCTGCGCGTGCCTTCGTTACACATCCGTTTCGTTCGATTTATCTATCCATCTATCTATCTATCTGTCTGTCTGTTTATCTGTCTATCTTCTACATACACGCCACCGTACCCGCTTCCTCTCCGGGACCGGGACCGCGCACGACCGGAGGAACGACGAGAGCTTTCTGTGCACACGCACACACTCCACATGTACATCTCCCCCCCTCTCTCTCTCTCTCTCTCTCTCTCTCATATTCAGAAACACACACACACACACAGAGTTTCGTCCTCCCTCCGTGTTGCTGCGGACGAGCGTCGCGCTCGGATCGTAAGGGTCCCCGGGAGCGAACGAACGCCCCCCCCCCTCCCTCTACTGCAGGGTGCGTACCCTGCGAGGTTGAAAGGGCCGCGAGTACGGCGGGCGTTTGTCCTTTGCGCGCGGGAGAGGGGGCGCGCCTGTATGTGCGTGCGTGCATGTATATTATTATATATATCCCCGCGTTTTTCTTCTTACGGTCCGTTTCTTCGTGTAATCTCGTTTTTGAAGAAGGACGAGAAAGGGGGAAGATAAGCTAATCAAACCGACCGGGGCCTCTGCGGGGCCTTGCTTTTTTTACTGCGCCGCGACCAGCAGCGGAAGAGACAACGGGCGAATTCTCTCCCCCCCCCCCTCCGCGACTCCCGCTTCTTTTGCAGAATTCTTCATCCCGAAGAGCGGAACGCGAATTGAACCGAATGTGTAAAAGAAATCGGCACGCGCGGGGGTGACAGCAGACGCCGCCGCCTCCGCGCCTAGCTGGTGTGTATTTCCGTTCAACCCCATCCCGCCCTCGCTTGTCGACATCGAGTCTGTATTAATCCCGCGATCCCTCCTCCCTTCCGCTTGTCCTTCGTCCCGGATCTCACCCCACCCACTCCATTACCCACTTCGTCGTTGTCTGCATTTCTATTTTTTTAATCGTCGAGAGTTCTTGTCAATCGTTGCCATTTTTTAAACGAAGATATGCTCAAGTCGCAGCTCCGAACACAAGTCGAGGTATATTATAATACATATTACATATATTATATATAAATATATATATTATATCTAAATCGCCCATCGTGCGACGGTGGGCGTCGGAAGACGAGAGAGGATATTTTTTCGATCTTTCTGAACACAAGACTCGCTCCTTTTTGTTTGTCGTCTTTTATATTATAATTAATTAATATTATTATTATTATTATTATTATTATTATTATTTGTCAACTCTTTTTCTTGATTTTTGTCGCGAGGATAACGTCTCCGTTCGCCGTACGCTTCGTTTCGTATTTTCTCCAGAGTCCAGTTCCTCCCGGTGATTTTTTCCCCGTGACGATACACCGCGCGCTCCTTCGTTCCACGAGTTTGTCTCCGCGCGTGCTTGCGGCCGTGAGACAGCGAGGAGCGAGAGAAGGCATTCGCGCTTTCACTCACTCGATTGAACGCATGCTAAAAATAGATTCGCGCACGCGACGAGCCCGTCGGAGGGTGCGCGAAAGAAACACGCGCGAATTATATATTTGTATATTATTATTTGTTACTATATATATCTATACCAGCACCCGAAATACGGAATCACACGTGTAACACGTAAACACACACATCCCCGCCATCCCCTCTCCCTCATTTCATACACGCGTAGCACACGAGGCACAACACAATCACACACGAACGCGTATATATATATATATATATATATGTATATGTGTATATATATATATATACAAAAGTGTATATTTATATATTATAATATCGATGAAGAAGAAAGAGAGATGTTTATTATATTTAAGTTCGAGGTAAAGTAAATTCTATATTTTTTCTATGTTAAGTATAAAGAGAAAGAAAAAGATGTGTAAAAGTGGTACGGTGGTAAAGCATATAACAGATATATATTATATTATATTATATTATATTATATATATATATACACACACATGAGATATATTTATAGGTATTCTCTTTAGCGTCTGCGTTCCGAGTTACGAAGACGCGCCCTCGCCGTGCCGCGCGCGCGGAAATGAATGCGCGAGCGGCCGGCGCGCATGTGCGTATGTATGTAGATTATGTCAGATTAGGTCACAGGTCTCTCATTAACTTCGCTATGATAAGTCTGAATCCATCGTGGATCTCGCGCGCGCGCGCGCGCGCGCGAGGGATTCGAGTGACGACGAAGGGTGAGGAGGAGAGGGCGATGAGAGAAAAAAGATGATACACAGGGCAAAGTAGGGAGTGACGGGCGACGCGCGGAGCAGGAGGAAGAGGGTAGTCCCTTTTTAGCCAGGTGTCTTTAGAGAGCGGGGGGAGTTCTCTCATCGATTTTCACTTGCGCGTTGTGCGTTCGTATATTTCGACCGGGTCAGAGGACAGATAAAGCGAGAGAGAGAGAGAGAGAGAGGGGGGGGGGAGAGGGAGGGAG